TGAACTATCCTGGGGAAGTCGGATAAATAACTGATAATCGATCGATCACCTGACAGTCTGATGGGCGCTGGCGGTGACGGGTTCAACTGAAGCTTCCAAACGGTTCCAACAGTTACTGTCACTGGACGGCCTGCAGATGGAGCTAAACAACAGGTTTTTTTCCGTATTAATGTTCGGTTGAATTAAAGATCATCAAAAAGTGTCTCTACCCAAATAAATAACGCATGAAGCTAAGCTTTTTTCTATTCAACTCAATTCTAGTAGGTGGGAATGTAGTGTAAAAATAATTGACATTTAAGCACAGGTCAGCTATAAAACATGTCCATTGTTGGATGTCTATCCATTGAGAGCCTTGGCTTTAAACAAAATACCTTGTGTCATTTTTAACTGTACAAGCTAACAACTACAACATTAAAACATGCTTGTCCCACATATCACTCCCACTACAGATGCATCTCTTCTGCCCGACCTCACATCTCAACATATTTTTATGAAACTGTAACATGATCCTCTTACCTGCCATTTGCACGGAGAGGACTTCCTTTCTCCAAATCTGGCTGCTCAGGTAGTTTAAGTTGCGCTCGAGTCCTGTCAAAAACAAACGGGGAATTCTTCGATGAGCTGCTCGTGTTTGTTTACCGTAACTTGACAAGCCAGTTTGGAAAAAAAAAGAAAAGAGAAAGGAATTTTCAACAAGTTGAGATGGCATTAAAAGTAGAGAGAGAAAGTAAAACCAAAACAATGCAGTCTGAGCCTGCAGTTTTATTGAGAGGTTGAATATTTACTCAGACGTCTTTCATAAAAAGCCATTAACTACTGTAGAGAAGCTCATATACTTTTAGTATAATGATGAATCCTCCACAAAATATATAGACCTAAAACTTTATAGTCCACATGAAATGAATGTAAACAAATATTTAGTTTTACTTGATATTTTATGGCACGTATACTCTAAACTAGACACACTCCAACATGTTTAAATTGTTTGCTAGAGGTAGTTTATCTGAGCAAAGCGTTCAGCATTAATCTTTACTGAAACAAAGGATTATATTTTGATTTAGCCACGTCTGTAGTAAGAACAATCAAGGAGTTCTTGAGTCGGTACCATGGATGTACTTAATGTCGTAATAGAAATTTAACTGCTAACCCGTTAATGTTGTCAATCTTATTTACTCAAGCAGAGTAAATGATATGCAGAGAACTGACGGCTATGTGGCAGCCGAGTTGGTTTACAAGGTGACAGCGGCACAATTTAGCCTCCACATAAATGGCTGATCAGAAGTGTCGCCGGTCACACGATTTATGGGACCCAACAGAAACTGAGCTGCTAGACCTCTTGCTAACATTCAAAAAGCATTTCACACTCATACTTTAGTTTTAATCCACTGTTTGTTTTTATTTAAAATAGAAAAATGTTCAGCTAAAAATCCAACACAGTTCCAAAAACGCTCAGTTTTGAATTATTAGGAATCAACAGATACAGAGAAAATGACCTGATGGATGGATGGATGGCATTGAAAGTCAAAACCTTCAATAAGAAAGATTTATCAAACTCCTTTAATATTTCAATTGTTCAATAAAGGTTACATTGATTATTTAAGAGATTCTACTGACCTGCATATGTAGAGTACGGATGTAACAGACAGTTACAAATATTATAAAATTACGGGTTGCTAAAAAATACAGGGAGGATCTTTATAACGAGAAACAAGATCAACTCTGTATTTGTCATCTGGCTGCAGATACTGAATTTTACAACATCCCATGTCAGGATGCAGCATGTGAGAACATGTGACAGCAATACAGTTTTCTTTAAAGAAATAAAAAAAGCATTTTTGTCATGTTTTCTGTTCTTTACTCAATAGATAAATAAAATAATCACAAAAGACTAAAAGCAAGAATATTCTTTTCTTCGTCAGTCAAAGTTGTACAACCATTTTTACTTCAGCATATTTTAGACTTTTTAAAAATATGAATAACATTTTACAGTTTATTTGCAAGTGGTCACACAGAACCTCAGACATTCCTGTAAAATTCTGCATCCACAGGACTTAAGTTCACGTAACACACCAGTCCTTTGCAGAGTTTAGCCAGGATGACGACAAACCCAAAAGTCTCCAGTACGGCGTTCCAGAAAGCAAAGGTGTACAGCGTTTTATTACAGTAAAGGCCATCAGCAGCGGAGGGGTCGTAGTTTGGCTGGTAGACGGCGAAAACCCACACGGCACCTAGAGGCGGGTACATGAGACAAAATCGTAAAGTTAGATCCAGTAGCATGTCAGGTTTATTGTATCCATACAGCACCTTTTTAAATCAGACAAGTTGGACCAAAATAGTATAAAACAAGTAAAAAGAAGTAGCAAAAAAATAGTATTCGATGGATCGTAGAGTAAGCTGGCTTTCTACAGAGTGAGCAGGTACTACAAATTTGATTTATTTATGTCAGAACTCAATTTTAATCCCAGATATATTCGTATGAAATCCTAAGTTCATTATGGAAAGACTCCAAGGGGCAACATGTAAAAGAAGAACAGGACGGAGGTGACATGGATCCCTGAGGAACTCCATATTTAACCAGACCTCAACATGTCATGACAGCCCAGAGCAAAACAGAACATTTTGAAATAAACTGTAAAGTGTTTAAGGAGCATTTCTATGTTTTTTTTTCTCAGTACCTAATAGGAGCCAAGCAAACATGAACAGGCCCAGAAAAAACTGCAAACAGGCTTTGAGGCAACTGGGATGCTCTTGTGGTCGGGCAGCATCTTTCGTCACAAGCGCAGCCAGGAGGGGGAACAGAGCCATCCCTAAGAGATATTTAGGGATGTTCGGCTGCTGAGGACAATCCTGGAAATATGCAAGACCTGTGGGCAGATGGTGAGTTCAGAAAGTGACGATCGAAGACCAAGGAACAAGACTGAATGCTGCAGAAGAAGAAGAAGGAGTTTACCAACCGAAGATCACTCGAGCCACGGTGAGGACGATCCATATCATTGCAACTGTAACTGTGAGAGTCAGAACATTATTTTTCACGTAGTGAGAGATACCTCTATGACAATACTGTTAATAACAGAAATAACAAAAAAATAAGTGAGGGGACAAGTAATCTAAAAATTCGGATTAGGTATTTCTGTAGAGCTGAATTAATATTTATGTCTTCGTAGTTGTCAAAATACCAGCAAGAAATACAAAAAGCTGGTCAGAAATAATTAGATGGCAGTAATGCAAATAAAGATTGAGGAAGCCAGAAATTACTTTTAGCATACAAATAAAAGCACATTATTCTTGTTTTTCAAAACCCAACTGAATTAAATTGCTTGTCTCATTTAAACAAGCTTCTTGGTTGAATAAAACTCATTTTCAATCTTTTTCGGATAAACTCCCTTCTGTGAAGTGAAAGCAGTTTCATTTCTAGCCAGACTGTTTTGAGCATGCAGAGGTTACTAGGCAGACTAACCAGAAATGTATGGGGCGCTTGAGGACAAAAATGTTTCGAAAAAAAAAAAAAAAAAATCCTGTTGCGCAAGCAGATTCACAGCAAAACAAAAACATGTGTTACACATCCAAGGTCATATCCTTAAACATAATTAAAAGGCAGCTGAGGGATATTTTTGTTGAAGCCTCGGCTCATAAACTGTGACTCTCTGCTCACCTGACAGTCTCGGAGGTGTTGGTGGTGGACGGACCAGCTGAAGTGTCCACGCGGTTCCAACAGTGACCGTCACCGGATGGCCTGTAGATGGCGCTAAGGACGGACGTAGTTATTGTTGGAATGGGGCCCTGATTTCATTAAATAGCATGACTTGGCTTTTTTTTATGTCTACTTGAATATAAAGTAACATTCTTACACAGAATAAAGTGAAATATGCCAAACAATACCACAATGCAGAAACTAATACTCTACCTATAGATCTCAGTTCCAGTTTACCTGAAAAACCTTCACACATCAAACACCCTGCTGTGGCCACGTTCAGTCCTGAAGGAATGATTCCTCTGTATCTGTTCGATATTTCTGAATATTTCACTTACCTGCCATTTGTTCCGACAAATCTCTGAGTCAGACTGCTCACTGATTTACGTTATACACATAAAAGCTGCCAAGAACAAATGGGGATTTCCTACATCAGCTGTGTTTTTTTTCTGCTTGGTTTTATTTCTCTTTCGACAGGCTGGCAAACAATGAAAGTGGGAAAAAAGAGAAAGTAAAAGTAAAAAAAATTCCTGAGAATTTCCAGACGTCCAACATTTAAATGGACGTCATCCATTAGAGGAGTAAACAAATAGATTGAATTGTTGTTCCTCGCCACTTTGAGGCCTCAACAAAAAGCTGTTTGGTCAGTGAACAACCAATCAGAGAGAAAGTTTGGTTCGGCATTACAGTAATAAGAGATTAATTCATAGTGACTTTTGAACTCTTACAGGATTGGCTCTTTGTTCCCAATTCTGTTCATGAGCTCTGTAGACAGAATAACTAGTTACATTAAGGATACTGGCACCAAGTCTAAAGCAATGGTCCTCAATGGGAGGCGCTGCCATCTTTGGATGGGGAATAAATAAATGCCTCAAATGGATCAGACACATCCTGATTAGCAAATAGAGATTTATTGAGAGACCAGCTTAGCTTCTATAATTATTGGGTGGTGTCCATACTGTTCTGTAGATACTTCATTAAGTTTTATATTGAAATAAATTGATTTGGAATTTTTTATTTTAATTTTTTTTTTGTCTTTTGCTTGATTTTGTTATTTTGAAATTGTGTTATTTATATGAGTTATTTTCATTTTGGGCTCTAAAATAGCAACATTTTCACAAAACTTCATATTTTGGTCCGTCTGACTATGTCATTTTTAATCATTAAATGGTTGATGTGAATAATAACAATAATTTCTTGGATGGCTACTTTTTACTTTTACTTGAGTAAAAATATGTAGGAGTTCTTACTTCAGTACTATTTTTGGCTAAAACTCCAGAAACGAGTCAGTCGAGATGATTCTGGCAGCTGATCAGGATTCTCCCTGATCGCCTCACCTGGACCCGTCCCACTGGGAAGAGACCCAGAACTCACTGGAGCGTTTATGACACACAGCAGAGCTGATGACAGCACCAGGCTTTAACCACCAGAGGGTGTAACGTCAAAACATCTGGACTCGCTTACGTCGCGTAAATCATTATCCGTTTGATGTTTGCCGCCGATTGAAAACAATTGGCCAATTGTTGCTTTTGAAGAGCGTAAGGTTATTGAATTCTCCATTTGTATTTGTTGGAAGATTTATAATTTAGAATAGTTTAATATGCTATAAAAGGTATAAAAGCCATAAATATGTGACATATCCCAACAGAGCTGAACACTTGATGTGTTAAAGGGCAAAAATACCACAAGATTATATAAGTGGCTGCAAACCATATCAACATATGAACACTTAACAACTTCCTTTAAAGTCACACATTAAGCGTTAAATCAGTTATGATCACCTTGTTGCATTCCTAACTAAATGTTTGCATCTGTCCAAATTCTTCATTAATGAAATATTTTACATTTCTTTATTGAAAAGCTCAGTTTTTGGGTTTTGTTGGGTACCATCTTTAGAAAACAATCACTTATTAAGGCACCAAACCCACATGTGGGTGTGTATCGACACACAGATCGAACACCTGAGCGATAACAAGCTCAGCGTGTAGCAAAGGGAGTTCAGCAGTAGCAACGTAACGAGTTGTTCTTCATGTTCATCCAACCTCCTCTGAGTATATTCATGTTTATTTTTGCGTTATCAACGGTCAGGCAGGTGAACATATCTGATTAGATTGGGGGTAGCTGCACTGACTCTTGGCCTTTGTTCCCTTCCTGCTGTAACCGTCACTCGCTGTGTTTGACTTTCGGCTCGTCAGAGTCAGCGGCGATCCTCCTGTCTCGTTCACAGCCTTTTATGGTCCGAGTCGCTTTTCCTTCGCTCGCATTCGGCTTGAAGAGGCTGTCAGAGAAGAGAGAGCGGACAGTTTGTTAGGCTGAAAGGGATAATCCTGACAGGATGTGTTGTACTGGACAGTGTGCCCGCCTGGTGGGCCTGATCCTGCTGCCGTCGGCCTTCATCTGCATGATCTCCAACTTGCTGCTTTTCTTCCCCAATGGGGAGAAGCTGCAAACCAACCAGATCACCCTGCAGGTCTGGCTCATGGGGGGCATCATCGGCGGAGGTCTCTTTGTGAGTATCAGTGTGTTTTCGTTTTATATACAGTTGTTAATGTTTTTTTATTGGGTCTTTCACTTGTTCTTGTGTAAACTTGTAAATTCAAATGTCCTGCTTTTATGGAGTTTTACTGAGGAGAATGATAGAATAATGAGGCTTTATTCCTCTAAGTAGATGATCATTTTAGTCCCTTAATCTTGTTTTCTGTTTTTTTTTTTTTTTTTTTTAATTTTTTCTTTTAAAACCTTTCTGATCGCTGCCACATTTAGGTTTCATTTTAGGAAAATCGTAATCCAATACGTACTTGTACTGTCAAATACCTTAGCTTGAAAATATGAAAAAAATCCAAAAGCCTTTAAACAAAGAAACAAGCAGAAACACTATTTAAACAAGATCATTAAGCAAGCGGAACCTCAATCAAAAAGGAAAACATTCTCATATGAAGAATTGGTTGAAGCCAAATTCAAAATGTGGGATTTATTGTAGTTTAACAATGTTTGAGTATCAACATCTTTATATTTATTTGGCCATGTTTATCTGTTAACAAAAGTTACTTTTCATGTGAAATGAAAAAGCCAAATCTCTGAGATTTATGACAGAAAAGATTCAGAAAACATTACAAGTCTTTCTAAATTTTTTAGTAAAAAATCAACAAAACGCCCTGCATTTTTGAAGTGTTTTTTCATTGGAGTGTTACAAATATATTGACATTACATAAATTAAGAACAGTAAATATAAATTACTGTTGAAGAAAAGAGGTTACAGGTTTTCAGTCTGAATGTAAGGGGAAAACTAAGATAAACTGTTAATAATTTATTCGTTTTTTCACAAATGTGAACTTTTCAATTTCATTTTAGTTCAGTTTCATTTGAACAAGTTCATGCAAAAGTAACAAAAGTATTACGCAATCACAACTATAGTTTTGTCCACTTAATATAATAAATATAATATAATATAATATAATATAATATAATATAATATAATATAATATAATATAATATAATATAATATAATATAATAGTGTTTGGTTGCCTCCAGAAACAAAGTTTTGCATTATGACCATAACATTTGCTGAACTTTGGTCTCAACAGCCACAAATTGTTCCAGAAGTTTCTTCTGATGGAAAACTTCAGTTGTTGTGAGTTTTGAACGTAAAGCTTAGTTATTATAAAGTCGTTGAAGGTCAGTGTTCCTAATGAATCTCCTTATAGAAAACTGAAAAATACCCACAGAAAAGCGTCAATCTGTGAATATTTATGGACATTATCTCAACATTCAGAGATTGTCTAGATAATTCATAAATATTTAATCTAGTAAAGCGATGAGTGCCACGTCTAGCTGCTGTTTTTCCCACATGATGAAAACACGTGAGACAAAGACCAGGAAGTTCAATCCCTTTTCCTTTCCTACCTCTAGCTGTGTGGACGTCGGGCCCAGTTAGACACAACTGGCTTCAGGATTCACAAATATTTGCCAAAGGAGATAAGAATACAGTCTTATGAATTTACTGGGGCCTGTTTGATGTTGTCATACATTTTAATCTTGTATTTTAAGCTTTTATGATCACAAGCTAACATTAAGCCCTATTTGTGATGTAAACTTAAACCTAAAAATGAGTTTTAATCAAAAAACAGAACCTTGAAGGTGTAGAGTCTAGCATTTAGGAGGCAACATAAGTATTGCAAGACACACTGAACAGCTTTTATTTTTGTCATGAATCTCATCTTCAATTCAATAACACTGATGATCTTTTTGCTTTTTGTGCGTTTATAGATGCTGTGCCCGAGCTCCTCAGCTATCAGGGCCGGGGGCAAGGGCTGCTGTGGACAAGGCTGCTGCGGCAATCGCTGCAGGGTGAGTGGAGCCACTTGAAAAAGAAACGCAGTGGGTGTTGTGGTGGGGATTGGTCTGATAACGGCAAAATTATGCAACATATTTACAACCAAGAAACATTCAGCTGCATCCTTAGAGGAATACTTCACCTTTCACATCATTTTCTTCAGGTGTTATCTTTTACTAAATAGATTATTCAACAACTGATACTGCTTCATTAAATTTTACAGCACTTCTTCTTATGTATCAAGAATTAGAATAGAATAGAATAGAATAGACTTTATTGATCCCCAAGGGGAAAATGCTTATTTGTTGAATAATCTTAGGTATCTTAGGCATCTTAGGTAACAAATGCAAAGTTTGTAACATATATATATATATATATATATATATATATATATATATATATATATATATATATACCTAAGAGTGATAAGTTCATAATGACTAGATATAAACAAATAAATAAACACATGCAATATATTAATCAATAAATAACCTATAAATGAGCGCAGAAAGAATTTGAATCAATCACTCTCTTAAATAAAGCACTGGAGCCCATCAGTCTGAAAAGTTAGCAGCAGTCTGAAACAGGACCTCTTGGTTTGTAACATCCTGATTATTTTTTAACTATAAGTACGTTTGTTTGTTTCTTGTTCTGCAGACTGAAATGTTGCCCATGTAAAATACCGTGTTCAAATCAAAGATGACGAAAAAAAACAACTTTCCAATTCCAGCTAACCTTTGGTGTGAAAATTAAATCACATAGAACAACAGTCATAAGAAAAAAAAAAGAAAGTATACCCTCTGTTAAATCTAACATTTCACTCCCAGATTCCACTTGCTATCTTAATTTACCAACAACAAAATCATCTTTCAAATCATAAATATAGTTTCTATGGATATCTCATGTCTCTTTCAGATGCTGAGCTCAGTCTTTTCTTCTGTCTTCGGCCTGCTGGGGGCAGTTTACTGCTCATGTGTGGCCATAGCTGCGTTGGCGGTGGGACCTAAGTGTCAGATTGATGATGGCCAATGGAAATACCCCTTTGAGGACTTGGGCACGTGAGTGTTTCTCCCATCCTGACGTGTCATTTCCACTAACCACGATAACTGCTGCAACTTTGGGACCCAGAGGAGAGATAGCTGCATATTTCCATGTGCGGTTATTGATTGTTCTGCTATATCAGTGATCTGATCAGTTATATTGCTCTTATATCAGACAAAGAACAGTTTGAGTTCTTCTTGGAAACTGTTTATAAATGCAATACTGTTTGCATCCAGCAGGAGGCGCACCGAGCCAATGATTTCTTTTCTAAGTGGACAGCTTCTATTCAAAACGCTCAAAATGCCAAACAAACAGTATTTAAAGGCACGTGTTGTGCTCATTACATCCACAAATATGAAATGAAAAAGCATAATCTTAATACCGTTTATCTTTGCTTCTCTGAAGGCCAATAAAGAATGAGTTAATACAAGATCCACCCAGTAATAACCTGATTGGCGTCAGTGGTCAATTTCACAAGCAGATATGATTTAACACACCTGATCGGGAGATTAAAGCTGTCCAGCAAAAATGACGGTGCAATAAATATGAATGGAGGCTGCCAGCTGTTTAAAAGCCATCACTGTTTCCAGGGAGGAAACTAACTTTTTATTACGCAATTTATGGAAGGGTGTTATAATTTAGCCTCCACTTGTGCTTCCTTCAGAAAACCCCAGTTTCCTCTTCCTTTGTTTTTTGGTTTAGCCAGCACAGGATCCTCGGCAGCGCTCACAGCAGTGGCCCTGCGCTTCCCTCAAACAAAAAAGGATAACATGACAAAACAAGAACTGAGTCCTTCTGATCACAAGATATAATCGTTTGTTTGCAGATAACTGGTGTAGTTTGGTTTTAGACACTCTCCACGTTTCTTTGCAACATTGTGTGTGTTAAAATGAATTTACGTTTTAACTCAGCAGCATAATCTGACAGTGAAATTCTTAGAAAAATATAACTTGTAATTTCAGTACATTTATTCAATGAGGAATATAAAATTAAACATAAATGACAAATTTGACCAAAATCACTGATACCAAATCTAACCACTGATACAAAACAGATGCAACCAAAGTATCTTTTGAAGTATGCATAACTTTTTATTACGCATACTTCTAAAGATAAGTTGTTATCATTAGTAACAACTAATGATCATTAGTGTCATTAGTTGTTACTCAGATAACTTTTCAATATCTTACGGCGAAGAAAACATGCCATTCAAGTAAATCAACTTTGTGTTGATCTTCACGAGTCAGGAAATGACTAAACAGAAATCGCTGCGTGTATAAAGTTGAACAGATGTACAACCAGAGCAATAATTAAGGAGTTGGAAATGTAAGAAAGCTGGGCAAAGAGGAACATGTTTACCTTGATGCCTTGCACAGCGTCAGGAGAGGGAGAAAAGTGGCCGAAGTTCAACATTTACAAAAGAGTCTCTAAGTCTCCAAAAAAACCATCAGACGTCATCTGAATGCAAACTGGTTGCTTAGGAGTATAAGGAAAAAGTCTTTTAAGTCCTACTATCACACACTTTACTAGGCCTTTAACTTAGTGGAACCTCAGTGTTCACATGGGATATACTAGCTAATACCTAAAGCCCTTATAAAAATGCTTATAATTGGCTATCTTTATAGTTCAAGCAATAAATTTACTTTTATATGCATTAATAAGCACCATGTAAACCGTCTTGGTGGTTAACAGCTACTACAGTTAGATGTTAGCTAACTATAGATGTTAGCTATGGTAAGCTAACAAATACACGTAACTGTAGATGTTAGCTAACATTTACAGGTAGATGCTAGCTAAAGGTAACTGTAAATGTTAGCTACAGATAACTGTAGCTAACATTTACAGTTACCTTTAGTAATAGCTGTAGTTATTTTACAGGCTATAGATGTTAGCTAACTGTAGATGCTACATAAGCTACAATCTTCCTTATAAGGCTGTTGTAAATGAATATTTTAGTAATCGAGTAATCTATCGATTGATTGATGAGAGCGCTGCGGCCGGAACACGGTGCGCTAAATAATAAAACATAAATTAACAAAGCTTCAAGGCAGGCAAATTTTCCTCGAGGAATTTTAATAATTGAGGTACTCGAATCACTCGAGGAATCGCTTCAGCCCTACTTCCTCACTTCAGTTCTTGGGGAGCCAATCGGGGACTAGAAAAACAAATGGCATTATTGGATAGACTTATTTGCAAACAGCATTATACCTCAGTGTCTCAGCTTCTCAAGTAGGTTTTTCTTTAGAATATTTGGATACGGTGCACAAAAAGATCCATAAATGGCCAGATTTTTGTCAAATTTACTTCCAACAGAAAAACCAGTGAACACTGAATGTGCTTTGGTTCGATGCCACTGAGCCTCTTAGCAGCAAACACTCCAGGTGGGTCGTGGATAAGGATGACTATGAGAAAACTCACCTCTGCGCTCCGTGCTAGATCACACATGATTGTATCTTAAACTGATAACATTTGTATTGACCTTATCTTTACATAAAGATAAGATCCTTTACTATTTAAGAATCCTGTTAAAGATGCACAGGATACATCTAAACTGAGCAACGAGCCTCCGCTTAAATACCGTAAGTGGAGGTAATATATTGTTTTCTACAGTAACACTCGGTCCTGTCAGTCAAATAATTATGCTTTTTACAAGAATTTCAATACTTGTTACAGAATCAAGAGGTTTCAACATCGAGTCAGATAATTTGGCTGAATAAAGTAATAACACGTCATCGTGCTGTTTTCTGTTTATGGGTTCATAAAGTAATTCATTACTGGCATTTCTGAGGTAACAGAAATGCTTGGATGATATAAATCCTGACTGAACTTCAGTGGGAACGTGGTGATCTGACAAGAACTTCTTTAGGATTTCACTCTAAGTAAAAAACATTTTGATACTTCTCTTTCAAAATAATCTTTAACATAAATTATTTTCCAATAATGTGGTCAAGATGGAAAACACAGTAAGGAGTTGTCATTTTAAAGTCTTTCTAAGTGCCAACGAAAACGTGGTTTAACTTAGATTGGAGCAACTTATGCTATGCTAATTTCTTACTTTTCCTCTACATACATTTCTTTTTTGTTTAATTAAAGTAAAACTCAATCATTCCCCTCTTTTTCCTCTGCCAAAAGGAGAAAAAAGACCAAAAGATCCTGCCTTCTTACCTGTGAAGCACATACTTGCATCAGTGTTGTGCATGCTGACCAATCCTCCGCTCTTCTCTTCCTCAGGGGTAACAGCAGCTATCTTTGGGACCAGGACTTGTGGTCAGATTGCAAGAAGCCTCAAAACATAGTTCTGTGGCATATCGTGCTGTTCTCCATCCTGCTGGGGATGGGCTTGCTGCAGCTCATACTCTGTGGCATCCAGGTGATCAACGGCTGCTTAGGATGCATCTGTGGCGACTGCCAGGACGACAGCGATGTGAGTCGATTAAATCTGCACTCAAACGAAACAAAACTGAAAGAATGGGAATGAGTTCTTTACTAAGAATATTTCTGAGATGGTGAAAGCTTAAAAGAAGCTCACCGGTCTTACTTTTGTTGTCACAGTTTTCAGTTCTTATCAGGGGAAACGAGACAGAGGGAAAAAATAGATGTATCAGTCTTAATTGGTCTTAATTTTGCATGTGAATTGGCAGCAATTGTTCCACTAAACAGGAAACAGTTACCTGACCTGCTCTCATTTATTGCCATATTTTACACAGGGAAAAAAATAAACAAACTTTATGAAGCTTTGAAAGCATGCTTCATCCTGTCAGGTAAGTCTCACGAGTAACAATCCATGTCAACAAATCAATTAGTTGCAAATTTTAATAAAAGCAAACAAAATTAAACATTATGCCGGTGAAAAATGTCTCGTATTTTTGTCCAGTTTCATTTTCTGTATCGCAATCAAGCATGTCAGCATGATTCTTAATCACTTCTGAACTGAAATTTAAATGCATGCGATTGTTTGATGACAACACGAATGAAACATAATTGATTTAATGTGTCTTTTATCTGTAATCATGCATGCACACGATGCGTTCACATTGTTGCAAAAAGCAATTGTGCAAACCACCACAACTACTACAATCAACCGGTCCATAAAGGATCAGAACCAACAAAATTCGTAATCAATATCAATGATATTTATTATGATTGCTTATTCCTGTATTCATCAAAATGACCTAATTACAAAGAGAAATTAATTAATAAGTACACGGGAAGGAAGAGGTCAGTCTTTTGTGTAAGGAATAAAGCTTTACAGAGATATCAATATTTAAAATGTATGTGTTTTTGCTATAGGAGTTGTTCCTGTGTGTATTAACGGAGGAAAGAATAGGTCTGAAATTGCAAAATATTGTGAAAAGGCACATCTTCCAGATGTGTCAATCATTAATAAAGGTAGCAACATTTTTGAAATGCAAATTTCAAATTCAGAAATATGAATGAAATTGTCCTATTTCAATTTATGGTACTTTAAATACTGACAAAAACAAACATACTGAGAAGGATTTCTTTCCGTACGAGTCAAATATTGAGAGAAACCTGTCTGCGCTGCTTCGAGATTAACAGTTACCCTTCAGATCCGACATTAGAGTCTGAAACGTCACGCAGCGGCGGCTGCATGTCTGTGAGCTGTCAAAACATTCATGAGTGAACTGTGCCGCCGAAATGGCACATATTAACACCGAGCTCACACTTATTAACAGCTAAACCACCTGTCAACGGAAAGAAAAATGTAGAAACATGTGACTTTTGTGCCATTGCAGAGTGAAAGTGGATTATAAAGGTGAAGAAGAAGAGAATCTTGCAGAGACCATCCATCACCTCTGGGAATGTGACCTTTGGTTCAAATTTTTTGCTGAATAACCTATAATATTTTTCTTTTCTTTTAATTTGTTTTACTCGGTATAAATGTCCACCCTTTTACTCCATTTTGTATGTTTTATTTTGCTCATGTGTTTTGGTGGCAGATAATTTTACTGAGCCCAATAAAAACTCCATACGTTAGCATGAAACCGTGTCTGCACACTGTTGGGTTTGGCTTCATACCTCAATGTTTATCAGCTGAAAATGACCGGATAAGGATTCATAGGCTTGAAACCTTACAAGACTCATTTAGATCATAATTCAGAATTTTCTTTCCAAAAGATAAGCTATATTTTAAGACATTTAGCCAACAAAAATGAGCTTTCTCTACAAGTTACCCTGTTTTACCTTAAAACTGAGTGAGGATCTCCTTCATCAGGGAGGTAAGAGTAGAGTCACTGCTTCTCCACACCGAAAGGATGCTCCTTAGATGCCTGTGTAGGTTTTTCTAAAAAATAAAAAATAAGCAAATTTTGGAAAGTATAACATGCAACTCTGGGGAAAATGAAGAGCCCACTCCACTGGACCTCCTGGTTTTTCCACCAAATATTGGTTTCTGAACTCTTCCTGAGTCAAAACAATAGAAACATTTAGAAGCATCAGTATTGTTGTTTCTAAATGAACATGAACTTGTTTTCTTTCCATTATTTGAGGTCTGAAAGAGCCGTATCTTTTTCATTATTTTAACAGTTTCTCATTTTCTGCAACATAAATACTACATTTTTGCTTTTAACTTCAGAGACATGTTGTCAGTAGTTCATAGAATAAAAGAACAAAGTTCATTTAACTCAAATATAAACCTATAAAGAATAAAATCAGAGAAACTGATAATTTTGCAGTGGTCTTTTAATTTTTTCCCCCCAGAGCTGTAAATTGTTTGGGGAGAAATAATACTGTAATAACTTAATTGTTTGTGATTATCTTGTTATTTCCAACTAAGACGTTATGGAACAAACTAGTTAGCGTAAATGCTGAAATAATTCCTCATGAAAAGCCATGAACTTTTTTTAATGTTTCATTTGATCATCCTGCTGATGGATCAATAATGCACAACGTAAACAGACATGAAACAACAAGGACAAAATCCAATGAAACACGTCTAAAATTTTGGGACTGTATTCAATAGAAACAAATATATTTTACAGCGAACAGAACAATGAAATCCACCAAGTCTTTACTCAAACAGAAGGATACATTTTTGATGAAATCGATTTCAACCTGTTCACAGTTAATATTTATAATGTGAACAAAGGTGCAATATCCTGATCTACGGTTCCCAAACTGAGCTAAGAAAACTTAAATCCTGTGTTTCTGGGTTGATGTTTATTTATTTGTTTTTTTATGGATCTTCAACTCATTATTTCTGCCCTAAAAGAAAAGTTTAAGTCTAAACCGAGTCTTTTTTTGGTTTCTAAACTGCTGTAATTTAAACACACTCAGTCACGTCTTCAATGTTTTTTTTTTAAATGTCCCTGAACCCAAAGCTGTATGGGTTCAGGGACCAAAATGATGTCAGCATGGTGGTGTTGGAAGGTCATGTTGTGTTTACTGATGCAAACAAAATCAGTTGTTGTGTTCAAACACAATAACAAAGGTCTTCACCATCCTTCAGAACCAGCAAGGCAAGAAAACCAAACTAAAATAAAAATACAGTTTTTAAAATGAAGTCTGGGCCACATTTGAATAGAAGCTCCAGCTCTACCAAGACGTTTAATGTTGACAAAAATAATCCTAAATTAAACCTTTGCACAAGTAACGTAAAAACCCAACATGGCAGGTATTTAAATACAAAGCTGACTCATCTTCAGCCTTTCTGAGAAGATTTTGTTTCTGGTTTCTTTTGTTCAGGACGCCTTCAGTTTTAGCGTTAAGATCCACTGATTGATTGAAAAAGCTTTGTGAGTTTTATGAGCATGTTTTAAACTATTCATCTACTTTAAAGAACAATCTGTTCAATTTGAGTCTCTTTCATGAAATCTCACTTGTCGTCATCATCACCCTGAACTTTTCCTCTTCATTTAATGAGCTTTGACCTCATTTGGGTCTCCTGAGTTCTGTATAAAACCTTTTTTTTCCCTTAAAGTTCATGTCTGATGTCCTGCTAAGCCCAGATCATAACATAACTTAACGCTCACGTGTCACTTCGTAGCTATAAACAACAATTTCCTCCTCCGAAGTCATTGGTACTTAACCATAGTGTATCAGTTTATTTTTACCGGCTGGTTACCGCAGAAACCAGATATTTATACGCACACGCCGTATAAAACGTTTGTTTCCTTTCACGGTCATTAAAAATGTCTGGTCTACCAAAAACACGCTTTTTATTTGCTAAATATCAAAAATACTGAAACAGAGAATTAAAATAAAATTCAAATTCAGATTTTCTCGTTAGTTTGCTGATCTTTTATTGTGAGAAAACTGGTGTAAGTAAAACAAAGCAATATTAAAAATCACTTGCATGTTTTTTTATTTGTGTGCAGAAATGTTTACTGTTAAATAAATGCCAAATTTAACCCAGTTTTTATTTTATTTTATTTTTGACCCATTCTTTCTCTCCGAGCTCCATTAACTGGGTCTGGACCTTGCTGCGTGCATCGTGTGCAGATTAACCCACGTGACATTGTGCCAGGACAAACGTGCGCACACACACACACACACACACGTTTGTAAACACAATCAGAGATGCAGCTATTAATCGTCTGTCCTGTCCCCTCGCTGTGATTATCCCGTCTGGGACGTTCTGCTCCTTCCCTCAGAGGAATCTCTGTCAATTACTCCCCCCGCCCCATCGCTGTGGCCCCTGCAGTTAGGCAGCCAGCTCTAACAGGATTACCGATCGAGACAGGGGTCAAAAGGTCGGAGCGCCTCCTGCGGCCACAGTGAACGCTGCAGCTGTATCTGCACAGGCAGTTCCTGTTAGTTTAGGTGCAGGTTAAGCTCATAATCTTTTGTTGCCATGGAGCCGCTTCTTGGTAATTGTTACCTAACTTTCAAGTTAAAACCCTGTTATAAAGCCGAGGTAAATATAGACCGGGTCTGCCGAGAGGCCGAATAACCCAAAGCTCTCAGAAAGTAGGAGACGCCTAGGTGAACGCTTCCCTCAACCTGGAGCTGCTTCATCGAAATTGTTTTCGAATTACGTTTTTAAGATTCAGACTTGATCAAAACGAGACCCACGTGTGTTGCAGGTGTTAAGGAAAGACGATTATCCTATAATATTAAGTTTAAAAAGGCAGAATTGAGGGAAATATTGGAGAAACAAAAACAAGAGACAGGTGGACGTGTTTGGATGAACTTATCCAAAGAGTCTAAATTATGCATCACATGCTGTATTTACCTGCGACAGACTGGCGACCTGTCCAGGGTGTACCCCGCCTCTCGCCCGGAACGTTAGCTGGAGATAGGCACCAGCACCCCTCCCGACCCCACTGAGGGACAAGGGTGTTCAGAAAATGGATGGATGGATGGATGCTGTATTTACATGCAGCCTCACTAATAGTAGGTTAAACTTTAAAGGGGAAAAAAGGGGAAAACGTCACGTTATGTCCTGTTTTACACAGTAAGAGTTAAATGGTGATTGGTTTTCCTTTGCTGATGAGCCAATGCTGTGCAGTCCTCTTATATAATGTGGCGCACAAAGCGAGAAAGGAGGAAGTGAAGAATCTGGAATAAAAGAACAGAGGGACAAAAGAGGCTAAAATGGGGACGGCATTTCTTTTCAGGCCTGAATGAAAAGCCGGTGAAGAAGCGACTGGTTCGAACCAGAGAAGTAAAAACAAAACATTTGGGCTGGATGACTTCAAAAAGGGAAAATATGAACTTTAATTCACCTAATGCTCATTGAGTTCCCCCCTTTTTGTGTTTTGGATGAAATGTCACGGCTCAGTCATGCTGTCACCTGCGGCTTTACTCACATTTTGACCAAAACACTCACATCTGATGGCTCAGCAGCGTCAACCACCCAGTAATTTGTTTTCAGCCTCGCGCCGAGTGACTCAGACTTGAGCCGCAGAAGCGACCCGATGACCAAAACAAATTCATTCGGTCTCAGATTATGCAAGAGTTTGGCCAAAGTGTGACTTAGCACACGCTAAAATGGATGGTTTGCACGTTTTTTTTTTTTAGATATTAAGATGTGGAGAAAGTGTGAGACAACTTACCGTGGACAAAGATAACCAACTTTGTTCTCCACGGATGTTGGTACCATCGCCAGCCAGGCCGACGTGAGGAATAGAGCTGGAGAGTCTGTGTGTTTGCAGACGTCATCTGAACCTGAAGACAAAATACAGAAGGTTCCTTTTAAAATGCACATTTTCAGACAATACTAGATAGTTGATTTTAAGACTGGTTGAACTGAAAGACTGATTTACTCTTACAAAGTAAGACTTTCTTTCAGCTCTTCAGTCTTTATCGTTGTGTGGCTTCGTCCTGAGACCATTTTAATCATAAAGTCATGAATAACGGATCAAATTTATTACTTAAAAACTCTTCAATGTTTTAAAGTACACCAATGTTTGTGGTTACACAGTGAAATTAAACAGCGGAATGATTTAAGACAAACTATGTGTCACAGATTTATTGTGCGTCAGGTCAGTTCGCTGTTATTTTTATCTGTACTCTTGTCTGAAAAATGCATCATTGTTACATCGGCCTCTTTGTTGACGTTATAAAGTTAAAGTTAGATTAAGTAGGAGAGCAGCAGGTCAACAAAACAAACTATGTAGCTAACTCTACGTCACATAGTCTATTATATATATATATATATATATATATATATATATATATATATATATATATATATATATATATATATAAAAGGATAATAATAGTTACAATCTGTTCACTTTTTTTTTTCTTTCTTTGGTGGTGATTTAAATCTGTAAACATATTTCTGAAAAGTCTAAAGCAGCCACAGCAGCCTTATCCTGACCGGCAGCAAAACAAAAAATAACGCTTACTGAAAATGTTATTTATAATTTGTCACTTTTTTGTCTCTCGGCCATATTGGATTTAACAAAAATAATTTATTGCATTTGCAGCTGATGGCCAGTAGTTGATCGTGTATTTCATGATACATTAGTGTCCACTTCAGTGGTCTGTGTGCATTTATAACAATAAAAATCCACAAGAAGCACAAGAAAATGGCTTTTAGACAGCTGTCCACTGTAGTGACCGCTATGCATGAAAGGGTTAAAGGAAGTTCAATGTTTCTGTGTGACCAGATCAGGTTGCAGAAGCTGAAAGCTCATCAGAAACAAACTAAACAGAGAAAGCTTCAGGCACATCCCATACCTTTATTTTATGAAAAATTATAATCGCCTAATAAATCCCAAACTATCTGGATTCAAAGCATCTGAGAAATTAAAATGAGAAATACAGACCTCCACACTCAACATTACATCTCATTTTCACCGTATTTATGCGGTCATGATTAGACACTGTCAGTTTTTTTTGGGGATTTATGGAATCAGTGATAATAATTACATAAACAGGCTGCTAACGTACGCCACGTCCCAGATATTTGACGCAATGTACTGAGGGAACCAGCAGTGAGCGAACTCAACCAGTTGGTCCCAGCTTCATGAACAACAGCAGGCTGTGAGCGTGGGAACAAACTGAGAGGAGGAGGGAGAGAGGACGATGTACGGCTGCAGGCAGAAAAGACCGGCCTCATCCTGATCCTCAAAATAATTCATCTGGGTGACATTTTAATTTATTTCTGATTTGAATTTAAACTCACAGGGTGGCTGCATATTAACTAAATGTTCTATTTTTTTTTAAACGTAAGCCTCTCTAAATGACGAGTCACCTGGCCAAGATGACACCGACACAGACACACACACAGTGAAAAACATAAAGGGCGACTGATAGCGTAAGCAATAAACCTGAACAGTCAGATGTGGCGATGTGGTTGGAAAACGTCTGAGCAAAATCATCAACCAAAACATTTAAATCCAGATGTTTAAATGTTTAAAACAGGCTTAAACTCACCCAATAGAACAAGTTTGGTGCCACTTTCAAGAATGTAGAGCAAAATATTTAAATGTTTGTTTACACTTATCTTGGTATAAGCGGGTGGCATTAAGGCATTTTGTAAGTTTATGTTATTTTTGATGTTAGAAATGGAGGTAGAATGTCAAGAATGGCTTCATAAAGTGGTTCAATCTTTACTCAAACCAAGCAGATCATTGAGTGTTGTAGTCAGGAATTAGTTTGAAAGTTTTGATAAATCTTCAAGTTCTACAGTAGAGATCACTGAGATGTATTTAAGCACTATAAACAGCCATTCATATAAATTATAAATCCATATCCAAGCAAAGACATAAAAGTCACTGTACTGAGTCACAAAATGACGATAAGATCAAATATAATCAATCAGTGTATTTCTACCAGTTGCTCACTGACCACTCCTATTTCTGTGTAAACACCAACTCAATCTCTGAAGCACCAGTTTTGATTTTGACTTGAAAAACAGCGTTATTTTTGCTCTTTATCATTCAAAACTAGCTTAGAATAGCACAAAGTCTGCTGAGCATTATTAAAATGCTGGAGTTGTTGAAGCATAAGGAGCAGATCTAACAATATCGTCAGCATAAAGATGGAAACTGGTGCATATTAAGACCGCTGACGTAGAAAATACAAAGAGGAGCCTCAGAACTGATCCCTGGGGAACACCTTCAGCCGCACAAACAACACTAGAGGTGACTGATTATTATTATTACTTCATAATTACATCAAATGTTTTTGTCCAAAACTGACGCTATTCATGTGCAATTAGTGCATAAAAAGGTGATAATAAGGGTTATAACAACTAAATATTCAATTTACCTTTACTGTTTCATCTTGGTATGAGCTGTTTTGATTGATATTTAAACTTTTGTCTTATATTCCAGCCTCTTTGTCAGCTGAGCAGGAGCCATGGAGATTTAATTAGCAGAGGGCCAATAACTCCCTCAGGTTGTGGGCCCAGAAATGTGACAATGCTAGTTTCCACTTTTAGCTCACAGTGTCTGATATCACCAGGACGCTCGAGGCCAGTGGTTCAGGCTTTATTAGATCCTGATACCTGAACTGTCGACTCTCGTGAAGCTACATGCTGTTGCCTCACAGCAATACCTCGGCCTCTGGCAGCAGCACGTATCACCTTAGAAGGACAGGAAGGAGCCGCATGAATGCATCAAGGAAGCAAAGTTACTAGGAAATCACCTGGTCAAAATCTTGGTGACAATGTGAACGACGACGAATGAATAGAAGAAGAAAAAATCCTTGATTTTAGTTGGTGATTTAAGCATTTATTTGAGATTGTCTAATAATTTTAGCTTTTTATTTTTAGAGGTCATGATGAGTTTAGCTAATTTTGAATCCTGACCGGCCTGCAGTTAATCATCAGACAGCAGATTTAAAATTAGAAACAATATTCCACTGGAGCACGCCTGTCCTTCACCCACAGCTGTAGGTCTGGAGGGTGGAGAGGTAAAACATCCATCTGGAGACGCAACGCATAATCAGTAACACACATGTTCACCACGATCTCCAAACACAACGTGTGCCTTCTCTGACATGTCCTTACATAAAACTGACATTTCTGCATATTTAGTGGGATTTTATGGAATAGACATGATTGTGATGTGAAGGAAAAGAGCACATTGTTTTTCCTGTTTTTCTCGTTAGAGTCAACTGGAAGGAGGATGGATCAAAGCATATCTGTGTTAGAATGTCCTAGTCAAAGTTCAGATATATGTGTTGTTCCAGCACATAAAATCCTGATTGAATGTGCTGAAGCTTTTGGATTTAACGTCATCTCAGACATCATTCGGGATTTAACGTGAAAAAGTTTCATGAAACGTAAACAATTTAGCAAGGCGCTATATCGCTGTTATCCCAAATTACAGATTTAGTTTTTGTGTCTCTGTTAATGTACTTTAAATCTGACAAATTCCTTCCTTAATACTGTTATTTTTTGACTAAATAAAAAAAAACAATAATCAACTATAATCATACACAAGACAACAACAAAGCAGCATAAATGTTGAACAAATGAAAAAATAATGATTTAAGAGTTTTTGTGATTTTGAGAATAAAAGCTCTTTGTTACAACACGCTCTCATCACACTGTTTTCCAAATAGGAGTTCTTGTTGTAATTACCCAATATCTATGTGAACATGTTTGGGTCGGGGTGAACAAATCTGTGAAAACGAACGTCTACACACGGATTAAAAGCTTTTTCAGGTCGCACTTTCTGCCTGCTTTCTCTCAAACCGATTCCTTTGATTTCAGACTAGCGGGATCAGACTCTGTCTCAGACATCATTCGGGTAAATTTCCACTGGACTGAACTACTAACTCGCCTGCCCTCAATATTTTTCTAATACAGGTCACTGGGCTGTCTGTGCTTGTCACAGAAAGACTCAAAAGATAAAAAAAAAAAAAAAAACACTTTGTCCTAATCAGCAACAGCAGAATGACATTAGGGTTTCTAATTAGAAAACTTAGTAGAGTTTTTTTTTTTTTTGAAGAGATCAATAAGTTTCAATCAAATGTTAAGCCTTGAGCCGAGACCACTGACTGTGCTAGAGATGAGCTTCTGCTGGCGATTTCTCTTGATTTCACATATTAAAAAAAAAAAAAAAAAAGGACTTTACTGAAAAGTTTTGGTTTCCTTATATGGTACACAATAACTATCTAATAATAATGCATTCCCCGCACTTCAGTTCATTGTCATTTATTGTAAAATATTGTCACATGTGAAATTATATATATATATATAAAAAAAAACACAGACAAATATATAACATGGTGGGTTATTATATTTAGGCTACATGTTGTCCTAATCTACGAGTTCATATTTTGACAGAGTCTTAAAGTTTAAAATACAGTTTACATACTGACTGCATGTAAACTTTTGAATTTGTGGAAAATTAAAAAAAAAAAATGAAAAAATGTTCTCAGCAAGTTTTCTGTCATTTAGCAAATAGAAATAATTTTCATAATTCTAACTAAGCTAAAACAAGAAAGGTTTGGTCTGATTTAACTTCAGACAGTGAAAATAAAATGTGTTCTCATCTTTTTATCCGGTGTATGCAAACGTCTGGTTTCATTTTATTGATTTGTATAATCCAGGGAGTCATTTTTGCCCTCAGTTCAGCTAAATACACTAAAACTTGCTCAAGGACACAAACATGACATTTTAAAAAAAGACAACTTAAAATTTTTTCTGGTTATTTAGTATAATTTAGTTAAGGAAATTTAATGCAAATATTCCAGGAAA